CTGCCCGTCACTAGAATGCCTGTCTAGCAGCACCAGTCTGGCTCCTGTGGAACCCTGACTGGGTAGCACCACGGACTCACTCAAGGCAGCTTCAGGTGGGCCACAGCCCAGTGTGCCAACTGACTTCCCTCATAGTCATTGTCATCAGAAGAAAGTCTCCATTTGGCCACAGTAACTCTACAACACTTGAAGGTTTTCCTGAAGAAAGAGAGTCAAGGGAGCTCCAGACTCACCCACCCACAGCACTCTAGTTGTGCTGAACTGGGAAGTTTCCCCAAGTGTGAGAAGCTGGACCTCATAACCTGTGGTAGTGGGGACTGTGCAAGCTCCCCCCAAATTAAAAACCAAAAAACCAAAGGTCGCCAGGCGTGGTGGTGCTGGTCTTTAATCCTAGCATTCAGGAAACAGAGGCAGGCAGATCTCTGGGAGTTCAAGGCTGGCCTGGTCTACACAGTGAGATTCTATCTCAAGCAAAACAACAATGAGCAAACTCAAAAACAACCCAAAAGCCCTAAAACCAAGGCCAGTGAAATGGCTCAGTGGACAAGGCAGCTACCAAACCTGATAACCTGAAGGTAAGAACATTTTTTTGGTTTTGGTTTTTCAAAACAAGGTTTCTTCTGTGTATCCCCAACTGTCCTGGAACTCACTTGTGCATCTGCCTGCCTCTGCCTCCTAAGTACTAGGATTAGAGGTGTGTACCACCATTGCACAGCTAAGAACTAATCTTTTTTTTTTAAAGATTTATTTATTTATTATGTATACAACATTCTGCCTTCATGTATGCCCGCATGCCAGAAGAGGGCACCAGATCTCATTATGGATGGTTGTGAGCCACCATGTGGTTGCTGGGAATTGAACTCAGGACCTCTGGAAGAACAGTGAGTGCTCTTAACCTCTGAGCCATCTCTCCAGCCCCTAAGAACTAATCTTAAACAAACAAAACAGGATCTCACTTAGTTGTCCTAGAATTCAGAGAGCCCCTGTCTCTGTGTATTAAAGGTGTCATTACTATGTCTGACCAAGAACTGACTTTATTTTTCCCGGTTTTTTGAGAAAGGGTTTTTTCTGTCACCCTGACCTGGAACTTACTTTGTAGACCAGGCTGGCCTTGAACTCACACAAAGATCCACTGAATACTGTCTCCTGAGTGCTGGGATTAAAGGCGTAGGCCACCACCGCCAGGCAGAACTGACTTTTCTAAATTGTTCTCTCTGTGCCCATGTCCTACGCTGAAGCCCATGTGCAACAAACACAAGAAAAACCTCCAAACTAAAACAGAGCAAAGGCACACAGCTTACTCAGTGCCTGCCACAGAAGCAAGCAATAGCACTCTTCCCTTTACTCTTAATGGGCCTTGACCCCCACTCCCATAATCCCTGTGCTGGAGGTTGCCAATCCAAAAGCACCAGTAGGTCAATAATGGGCTGCCATTGACAAACTGAGTCACCTTGTTTGACTGGAATAGCCTTGCTGAGGACCCCAGGAGCCGGCAGGACAGGGTCTGCTCAAGATACCAGCTGCTTTTGACTGTGCAAATAACACCTTCACCACCATTCTCCTGGGGTGCTCTAATGGGGTGTGTGGAGTCAGCGGGGCAGCTGAGAGTCTGAATGGGTCAGGTGGACCCTCCAGAGTTGGGCAGGATCACACCACCTTTCTGCTTGAGATGTTTCTCTGGAATTTGCCCTATGCCTGGCCTCCTTTGCATGAGGACAAGTCACGTAGGTGAGCCCACCCTTGTCATTTATTATTACTACCACTAGTGCTACTGTTACTGAGATAGGCTCTCACCTAGCCCAGGCTGGCCCCAACACACTGTGGAGTGGAAGATCACCTTGAAATTAGGAACCTTCTGTTTTCACCTCCAGTGTTGGGATTACAGCTTGTGCACCACAACCTACTCAAGAGATGCTGGGGACCCAAGTCAAAGGCTTCGTGTGTGTCAGGCAAACACTCTGAAGCCACTTGTTAGACCTCTAGCCCCTACCTATTTATTCATTGGCAGGGTTTCTATGTGTAGCTCTGGCAGTCCTGGAATTGAACTCAAACCTGCCTGCCTATCTCCTGAGTGCGGGGATTAAAAGGTGTACACCACAACCTCACAGCCTCTTGAGTTTTTACAGACAGTACCTCAGACTCCATTGTGGGCTACGGTTCCATCTTAAAAATGAAGGCAAAACAAACCCAAAATTGTAAACATGCCCTGATATAGGCAAGTTATAAATGTATAAGGACAACTAACACCAAATTTTGGCCTGGTGTGGTGGTATAAACCATCTCAGTACTTAAGTGGGCGCCATCTTTTCTGGCTTCTAATTTGACCCCATCTCCTCACTGAGAACAGTCAACTGAACTAGCCAAACCCACAGGTAGTGCCTGTTGACTGTCCTCAGTCAGCCCCACTTTGCTTTGGTGATTATGTACCCACCAGGGCTGTGGACAGACTTCATAGACCAAGGTAGGCAGCAATAGAGTCCCACTGAGGGGAGACACTAGGATGTGCAACTGTGACATCCTTGCTTCCTGGTTTTCAAAGCCGCATTAGCATGTACACACCTGGCTAAAATCTGTCTCCCTACTCCTGTCCTGCTCAGCTGCAAATAGAAAAAAGATGAAGCGGACACAGGGACTTCAAGACACGTTTGTCATTTTAGTATCTTCGTCAATCATTCCCATCTCCCGTGGGGCTCTCTATACATGATCGAATGCTTCTCTCCGATCCAGTGTGCACAGCACATACTCTCTGGGTCGACACCTGTATTAACTACAGACCGACTCTTTGTAACCAGGGCAGATACAGAAACCTTAAACCCATCCCACAACAAAATTGCAAAGGTACAGCCTTGTCCTTGGACACAGACAGGAAAGGAAGCTGGCTGAAAAAACGGAACAGGAGGTCAGGGAGGACCACAGCCTGTCGGAGGCAACATGGCGGCCAAGAACCCCATCAGAGCAGGGCAAGTGCCTTCCACCTGTAGTCCCAACACTTGCTGACTCAAGCAGAGCCATTCTGGGCTACAGAATAAGACTCCGCCCCTCATCTCATCCCTGCCTCTCCAAAAAAGAGGGAGACATACTTTTGATTGAGTGGCCTGGCATGTGCCTGACTTCAACCCCCAGCACCTAATAGTGTGTGTGGCCCTGCGTCTGTAATTTTAGAACTTTGGAAGTGGGGGTAGGAGGATCAGAAATTCAAGGTCATCCTCAGCAACATAGCAAGTCAGGGCCAGCCTGGGCTATGAGTCCCTGTCTTTAAAAAAAAAAAAAAACAGTAACAACAACAACAACAAAAGACCTTCAACTACCTTTTCCCCAACACTCTTGGAGTCTAGGGCCTGTTTTCAAAAACACAAAATCTGTATTGTCCTGTAAGCCAGCAAACATAAAAGGAAGTTTTATGGAACATTCTCCCACCTCAGCTTTGGGCGTGTCCCCTTCCTTCTTGGGCTGTGGTACAGAATAGTATTTAAGTATCCGATTAGCATTCAAACAAAGAGTTTTTGAAAGGAATGTGAAAGACAAAAAAAATGCCAATCAGATTTTCCCCATCTTGCTGTCTGTAGCCTCCCATAAAGTTAATTTGGGACGTGGCTCAGAAGCCTCCCAGCAAAGTCTTAACGTCTTGGGGAGAAGCATTTGGGGCATTCACTCTAGCGAGCTAAGGTCATTTTGTATAAACTCCAAAGAGTCATTCATTAAAATTAAATGTTCGCCCTCACCTCAGCCCTTTTTTTAAATGCCGCCGACCCTGCCTCTTCCATCTTGGTCTCAGCGACAGGGGTTACATTCGTAAAATATATAAAGAAAAATATAAGGGTTACTTGACTTGGTGACCATATAGTGCACTCCGACAGCTGGCCGCGCATATTTTCACCATGAATACCCCTTACTAAAAGTAAATCATTGGGTAAAGATAGCTGGAACGTGACAAGAGTCCAGCAGGGCGCACGATGCTACATGTGGAAGAGAAGCCGGCAGGCGCACCCGGCAGCGTCTCCAGCTTGATCACCAGGGGCTCAGGAACTCTGAGGTAGATGGGAACAGAATGCGAATGGGTTCACACTTGGGACTGCACCGGAATGCGAACTCCTGCAGGCAGAATGCCTTAGGGCTGGGAAGGACAGTTCACTCTCAAATTGTGGAGTTCCAGTACAAAGCTCCCCAATTTCTGGGAAGCCTGTTTTTTTTTTTTTCTCCGTTTGCAAAAACACTTTGTTACATCCTGACAAGCCATCCTCTATCACAAAAAGTAGAATTTCATCCCTAGAGTCTTGAGTTGTGGCACATGCACCTCCTTGTCCATTCCTTGTTCCTTTCCCGGCAATTGACAAAGTTCCAATGGCTACAAGCCACGTGCCCTGTTTGGCCAGTCCAAAAAAGGCAAACAGGAGTTTATAAAGTTGTCTAAGGGTCTCTCCCATCCGGTAGGTCGAGGAAGATTGACTGCTAGAGAGTTCAAAGATCAGCCTTGGAGATCTAAAAACAGAGGCGGGAGGACTTCCAGGACGCACTTCTGTCCCCGGAGTAAACCGATCCGTTCGGGTTCATACCAAAGGGAGCTGAGGGAGCGGCTGCTTCAGGATGCTCCCCGACTGGAAGGAGCAATCGCAGGGTCCTCCTCTGACTGGCTCAGAGGCCCTAGGCAGGCCTTTCCAGACACAGAGAGGCCAGACACCCTTGGAATCTGATGTCACTGAGTTTTAAGAGACTCACACATGAAATAGCAGCACTCCCTGGGCTTTGATATTGAAGCAAGTCCGTCCCACTGCACCAAAAAGTCTAAGCTTCATTGGATTCGTTTGTTCTTTTGGTCATTTCCCCCCACCCAGAAAATGAAAATACACAGAATTATAAATAATTGGGCATCAGTATATACATATTTAAATAATTAATTTAAGTATCTTACACCTGTTTTTGCAAACAGTTCTCCATGGAGAGAAAGTGCTCCTCCTGAGGGGTGGGGTGTGCTTCCGAGGCTGAGGCAGGGCTCCGGAGGGTCACAGTCTAGGAAGGAAGTGGGTTACCTTCATGGTAGGTGACACTCGGTTTCCTTTCTTGGTCCGCCCGTTCTTACTGAGGGCCATGAACATGCCGGGATGAGCGTAGGATTCGTAAGCGTTGTAATTGTTGGGCAGAAGAATCTCTTTGAATTTACACTCATCGGTAAAGAAAGGCTAAGAAAGAGGACACAGGGTGAGCCAGGGACCTGTTGCAGCAGGGTCCAAGAGGTCTTTCTAGGCAGGGTGTCAAGTCTGTCTGTCCCAGGCTTCAAGGAGATGTTAAGCCCACGCTAGGCGGAGCATAGCTCACCTGCCCTGTCCCTATCATTCTAGTATCTCCTGCCGCGCGCGTGTTCTGCCTGTTGGGACTTATCTCCATTGGACCCGCCTCTCTCCTAGGATGAGTTAAGTACCCACCTACGGCTGGCAGAAATAGGGTGGGGCAGTCCCTTTGGTCTGAAAGTGCAAGCTGCTTCTGGCTATTTTGGCTGGAAACCTCGAGACCCGGTAACCAGACGCAAGTGCGTGCGTGTGGGTGGGGTGTGGGTTTTACAATCCTGCTAGCCCTGCACAAGGTCTCCAGCAGGTGCCCAGCCAGACCCCCCGGGTACTTACCACACCGAAGAGCTTGCCCCTGCTGCTCATGGCTACGAAGAACCGGCTGGCCACTCCGAAGATGCTCACCACGCCCCGCTGCACCGGGGAGAGCTCCAGAAGGCCTGGGGTGGGAGTGGAGGCGCAAGTCAGAAAAGAGTAGGTGACCCTGGGCCCACACAGACCCTCCACCTATGAACCTCTGGAGACCTCGATGCTGGGGTGAGTGTTAAGTGAAAAACTCGGGGTCCCTAGCGCAAGCGTTAAGAGCTGGTATTCCCCAAGGCTGGCCTCAGTCTGGGCACTTGTCCCGGGCTCCCGTGGGTGCGGACGGGCGAAGGCGCTGGAATTTGCGGCACCGGGAGCCCAGGCTTCCGAAGGCGGGAGGCGGGGCCTGGCTGGCGGTACGCTCCCGGTCCTCGGGTCCTAAGGGACGGAGCTTGAACCGGCACCGTTCCCGGGTCTGCTGCTCGGGTCCCCACCCTCCCGGCACGCCCCACACTTACTGTCGCCGGTGTCTGCGTGCACGCCGCCGATGCGGCCGTCGGGCAGCACCTGCAGGTGGAATCCGATGCCCACGTTGCAGTAGAGCCGCCGCAGTCTTTTGAGGCCCAGCAGGTAGTCCCCTGCGCCGCTGCGAACCGCCGCCTGCGGGGGTTGCGCGGCCACTGGCAGGCGCGCCAGCGAGCGGGCCACCAGGCCATCCCAGCCGC